TCGTTCTGTTAATCAATAAGCCTGACTTTAGTTGGAAGTAGTGCTCCGTTGGAGGGAAGGGCCAGAAACAGCTGCAGTTCTAACTACACCCAAGTTTCACTGTGGAAACTCTGCTTTGACCGGCAGAAATTCCTACAGACGGTATAGATGCTAAAAATAGTCCAGACTGCCACATAACGGCAGCACCGCACGCCGTGTTAAAACGCTGGGGCCATGCAGGAACAAATGGGGTCCAATGAGAAAGGAGAGCGTGCCTGGTTTCATATTCGAGGAGGACTTTATGACCTCATGCGAAGCCCTCGCAAATCGGCGGCTTCCTGCAGTGGCCGGTTGCTATGGGAACTACACGGGAGTAGAATGGAACTTCCTAGTCAGTGCCTAGTCAGGTCTGGCTGTGGGCTTGTACAGGCATGGCTGCAGCGTGCGCTCGCTGCTCACACTCAGCTGGGGCCGGGCGGCCGCGTTACCCCTCTCCGAGCTCCTCTCTCTCTTCGGCAAAATGAGTCTGAAGAAGAGGCTGTCTTTCAAGAAAGTGCTCTACTTCAACCCCAACGCCGTGAGTAGAACTTCCTTGAAACTTACCCATCCGGTTCTGCTCCTGCAGGCACTCCGTTTAGGTCAGCCGTCTCGCTCGTTCGCCCCGTTTCCAAACGGTCTGCCATCCCGTCTGCCCTCGGGAGCGTCTTTAAGCCGCTTTGGTCGCCTCGTGCCCGAAGGCGTGCAGAGCTCCTTACACCCCCGCGGAGACCTTTTCTCTGATGGTATCGCCGTGTCATTCGGCGTAAGTCCCAGCGCATTATGGACGCGAGCGTGCTCAAACAAACAGGGAGGCTGTCTCCTCTGCGCTGAATCCCAGGGGGACACTGAGGCTGCCAGGTGCCGTTAATTTCAAATTCAAAAGTAAACACGCGATTCTGTCAGACCACGTGGACTCAAAAGTCCCGCTGTTCTCGCTGGAAAATCCATACGACTCCATCGGCATCTTCGGGTCAGTACGTCCCCAGTGGGCTGGTGGCTGTCACCTTTCCCACAGTCTCTTCTGTACGTGACTATCGGGGTTCATCCTTTTTGTCAAGGTGCTAACATTGTTATTAAAAGCAGCGGTTCATAAATATGGGTTTAAAACGGCATTTATGGGCACCTTCAGCCCAAACGCTGTCGTCTCTGTGCTTGTGTCCGCGGGGCTGCATTTCAGGCCAGGCTGAAATTCTGCCTCAAATGTGTGTCTCATTAACACACTCCTTCTGGGGGACGGATTCGATTTTTCATTGTTTGTGGCAACTCTGTGGAGGATCCTGCATCATGGTGAAACACACTAGAAGATGTGTTATACATTCTGGAGGCCTGCTTTTAAGTGTTCATCATTTTCTATTACGTCTAACTTTTTTTTCCAGAATATGGACAGCTCACATACACCAGTGGGATTTGGTAAGAATGATAGCGATTACTCCCGTACAAAACTTTGTGAAAACCCAGAATAGGGGAATAGGTATGTGCGCTTTTTTGACAGAAGTCTGCCTTGTCTCACCATCTATGCAGAAATTAAAAGGAAAGAGGGATTATCAGTCCTTTTATCTGTACATCAGGTCAGTAACAGGAAGAAAAGGTCAGGCGTAATTATGCAAAAACGAATTTGCAAATAACCCAGCTTTGCATTAAAGTGAATTATTTTTTTTTCCTGCTATAAGGTGATAATTTGCAAGATCCAGAAGCAGATAAAACATTCCATCCTCAATAAAGCTGCATGACGTTTTTTAGTGCATTGTAGCAGCCGGATATTTCGCCCGAGGTTGGAACATCAGGCCCTCTCCTGAGGGAGTCCCATCTATTGCATTCAGTATAAAAACTTGATGACGGACTAGCAGACTCTCTTATTCAAATCGACATACAACTGAAAGCAGGACCAGACCGTCTTTTGAGCAATTGTGGGTTAGGGCCTTTTTTCTGGGGCTCAACGGTGACATCACTCTGCTGAATTTGGGATTTGAACCAGCGACCTTCTGATCACATGCCCAACATACTTAGCCACAGAGCTACGCATCACGCAGTGCTCTTCTCAAAGGTATCTCAGCAAAGGCCAGGAGGCGGGACCTATGAAAAGTGCCGGTCGCAGTGGGTGCGAGCCGTCGATGAGCGAGCTTTCTCCTCTCGCCTAACCGGGTGTCCACGCCCCTCGCGCTCGTCACGGGGTTAGTCACGGCCGACCGGAAACGGGGAAAGCGCCGCATGTCCGCCGGCTCGTTAAGCAAGCAGAATCTTTAATTAAGGTGGTAGGCACGCCTTTCCCGTTAACATCTCTGGCGATCACGTGAGTGACGAGCGACGGGCGGTTGTGGGGGGGGAGCGGAGCACCAGTGGCGTCCCATCGGGGGGTAGGAAGGCGGCTTGCGGTGCGTTTTGCGCAGGGTGCACATTCCACACCCCCATTAAAGCTTTTCCCCTCTGCTGGCAGCTTTACTGAGACATGTTTGGCTTTTTTTTATTATACTCTAATAAAGCACATTGCTCCTCATGGCTTTGATTAATCATGCGAAAACATCGTTTGCCTCTTAATTTAGTTTCAGCGTGTGCCCTGCGATGATCCGACATCCCCTCCAGGGTGCCCCCCCCCCCCTCCCCACCTGACGGCCTGTGTCAGGCTTCAGGCTCTCCTTGACCCTTTATTAGGGAAGTGGTTAAAGGACGATTGATTAAACTGGGTGGATGGAATTCGGCATTCATGTAATTGTGGCCATTATTGACAAAAGGATTTGGCCTAGGATGGGCTAGGATTGTCTGGGGTGTGCTTACTGCATTCCTGAACTGAGGACAGTAACTGAAATAAAGGCGAAATCCATAAATTCATACATTCACAGGGATTCAGCCTATTAGGTGCAGCTTAGCTACCTGGCACAATGGCTCAGTGAAGATCTTCAGGACAAGCAGCCCTTTCTGTTTACCTATTGACAACAAGATGAACAGTCACGGGCTGGGGAGTGAATTTAACAGCTCATACGCAACACAGAAACCATCCCGTCTTTGTAATTAGCGTGAAAATTGTCGTGATTCAGCTTTTGTGGAAATGATATTCAGGGAGATTGCAGGAGCTTGTGGGTTCAGCTTCCGTGCAGATTGAGAAATCCCCTGGTTTTTCTTGTCTGGAGACCGGAGACAGATACGAGCGGGCCTTATGCCCCGCCCATGTGGGCGGAGCCTCGGCCAGGGCGAGGGCGGGCCCTGAATTGACGCCTCCTGTCGAACAGTGATCGCTCTGTCACGGGGTCCTGCTGCATCACGGCACCCCCCCACCCCCCCCCAGCCACGATCCTGTGTCTTCCCCTCGCTCGCGGGTGCGGTTAAGTCTCACCGGAGTCCGGGGGCCAGCGTCATATGGAGAGCAGCTGCTTCTGAGTGGAAAATCAGTGCGACCGCCTTTTCAGGTCAGGGCATTATTTACGCCCTTCAAAGCACGCCCCGCGCTGTAATTTACTGGCCTGTGGTTCCGAGCCCTCGCGGTCGTGCCGGTCTCATGAAGCAGATGACTTTATTCCAGGGGGTTTGGATGTGGTGATCGTCTTTATTACGGAGGCTATTTGTTTTTGGGTTGTTGTGTTTAACAGATAAGAGGAATGTGAATAGCCGTGTCTATGGGAGCCAGCTCATCCATCTCTCTCCAGAAGCTTCTGTGGGGACTTTGAAGATCATGGGCCGTTTGTACCGCGAACCCAAAGCCGAGCGGCTCAGCCCCGTTCCAAGCCTCGCGGTCTGGGTATCCACGTGAGGTCCGACAGGGAGACCACACGGAGCTGTGAGCCTCAGCTGTGGAAATGGGGAGAGCGTGCCGGGTAGGGGTCACGTGACCTGCCTGTGAGCCTCAGCTGTGGAAATGGGGAGAGCGTGCCGGGTAGGGGTCACGTGACCTGCCTGTGAGCCTCAGCTGTGGAAATGGGGAGAGCGTGCCGGGTAGGGGTCACGTGACCTGCCTGTGAGCCTCAGCTGTGGAAATGGGGAGAGCGTGCCGGGTAGGGGTCACGTGACCTGCCTGTGAGCCTCAGCTGTGGAAATGGGGAGAGCGTGCCGGGTAGGGGTCACGTGACCTGCCTGTGAGCCTCAGCTGTGGAAATGGGGAGAGCGTGCCGGGTAGGGGTCACGTGACCTGCCTGTGAGCCTCAGCTGTGGAAATGGGGAGAGCGTGCCGGGTAGGGGTCATGTGACCTGCCGTCTCACCCAAATAAAGGCAGGTCGTGTGGGATTCTCAAGGGTCTTTTTAGGATTTTAAAGAGCTGGTCATTTTGGCGGGGGGTTTCCTCACAGTGGGGGGAGTGTAACTCTGGAGGAGGAGCCAGCGAATCCCTCAGGACTGATCAGGAGCCGATAGCCTGGCACCCCTGGGCACGTCCTGGTGGGTGATGTTGGCAGCACATTCCTCAGTGCGTGCCGGGGACCCGGCTTGGACAGACGCGGCTTCCTATAGGCAGCCCTGATCGGCTTTTCCCTGTTAGAGTAACAGTAAATAACATAATTATGGTGTGGGATTTTCAGTGCACTTTCATTATTGTAGGGAGTTTGTTATAATGCCTGAAAATCATGTTTAATGAGCGTCTAACGAGCATGACAGAACCTGAACATAATTCTGAATCACTACTGGTGCCCCTGTTTTAGGAATTAGTTTATTTAGTTTCAGCTTAATTAGCATTGAGCTGTTTCAGTGAAAACTACCCCGGCGAGCCATCCTCAGTGGTCAATGAGTGCTGTGTGTCAGGCAGCCTAACGTCCCCGGGGGGGGGGGGGGATTTCCTGGGCGGAGCTTCTCTCTGAGGTGGGAACAGCTGGGTGGAGGCAATGGCCCAGACGCATCCCGGCCTTCCAGTGCGAAAGGAGCTTCCGTTGCATGAGCAAAACACACGACGTGGCCCAGGACAGCCCCGCGGCCCCCCGCCCCCCCCCCCCCAGAGACTGTGCTCGCCCTGTGGGCTCGGAGGGGCCCCCTCTCACTCATGTCTCTCTGTGTTTTCTTACAGTCTGCTGCGCTCTCCGATGGAGGTAAGCCAAGCCTTTACTCTCCTATACTAACACCCACCGCATTTCCACTAACAGTCCTGGGGGGGGGGGGGGGGGGGGGCGATGCCCCACACTCAGCCGCAGCCGCCGCTCAATAGGTAGCCTCTTGTTTTACGGTATTGCTGGCCCTGTGCAGTGTTTTGGGGAGGGGGTGTCACACCTGCCTGGGTATCACATTACACCCCAGAGCTTAACATTTTTTTGGTTCACTTCTACGAGCAGAAAAGCTGCCCTCAGCTTCATGGCTGCTAAGCTGGGCCTATCTTCATGGGTTTGTGCGTCAGGCTGTATCGCGTCTTTGTGGAAGGCTTTGCATTTATGTTCTGTGTTACCCCCCCCCCAACACCACCACCAGCACCTCCATATTAGCATGTGCACAATGACCCGTGCAAGGTGTGAATGTTTGTTCTACGTTCACAATTCAACCACCCAGGGGGGGAACAAAAGATGCAAGGGCCGGGCTTTGGGAGCCTGACCGGGTGTAAGTGTCACCTTCCCCACCCGCGGGATGTCTGTGTGGCCTCGGCCAGCGGGGGAGGGGCGGGGAGGGACGTTGCCTGCTCGCTCTTTTCAGAGGCCAGTCGCTTGTTTGTTTACATGAGAATGAGGCCAGGCCTCACGTGTCACTCTGAGGGGGGGGTGCGGGGGGGTGCAGCTTCTCCTGGCATGGGAGAGCCAGGGCCGGAACATCCATGTGGGGAGGGGTGGGGACGTCCCAAACTGCGAGGGTGAGCAGACTTGTAGGGCCTCCCCTGCTGTGTCCCCATGTCGTCAGAGAGGTATGGAGCGGTCCCGACCGAGACCCCCCCCTCGGCAGAGGGACGAGTGGTCTCTCCTGAGGCCATCAATATTGTAGGGCCCCACTTGCCAAAGGCATCTTTGGTTCCCCCCTCCCTCTGGCTTCCATTATTCATGCGGAGCCGCCACAGGCTTTGTGCCGGACTGCGTATCCGCTTTCTGCCACTCGCTATGAGCCGCTGTGTGGAGCCCAAAGCCTCCCTGGGGGGCTTCTGTCCCCTTTGATGGGCTCGCCATGGATTCCGGGACATGGGTTCCAGTCGGGCTGAAGTACCTGACCCGGTGGCACACAGGCTTCTACCAGCTGTACCCGGGTAAGACGGACGGTCTTTTCACAAGGTCTGACGTCTGCGAGGGCTAAATCCAAAATGTACTCCGTAGCTCAGAGGTTTTCATCGTTCCTCAGCAGCCGGCGTCCAGACACTGCGAAACATTTCCGCTGTTAAGAAGAGACCCGCCTTGTGGTCGGGCCCCGCGACCTTGCGGTTCACGCAGATGGGTCTAGGTTAGACGCGAGAACGTTCTGCAAACACGTCCGCGTAAAGTTTGCCGACGTGAAGAAGCGTGGCCTTTCCCAGGTCCAGGCTGCAGACAGAGAGCTCCTTTGTCCCTGACTGTGAAAGGCGAGCCGGCAGGGCCCGCGGCGAGCGGAGGGGCCGCGGCGAGCGGAGGGGCCGCGTTGGAGCACCTTTGTAAGGATCAGACGTTCAGCGTTTCCCCAGCGGTGAAGATCATGGCCGTATAGGAAGCTTGGGAGACGGGAGATTTCAATGTTTCACTTTTCTGTAGGGGATTGGGGTCATAAAGCTGTCAGGTTTCTCTGGTCCTCTGAGGAACCTGGTGGAGATGCCTCCACGCAGACTCAGGAGGCAGACCGCGTTCCCGCCAGGTGGGGAATCACACCTTCCAATCTCATTACAGCAGCACTCGCAGCCTGTTCTCTGGGGTGGGGGGGGGGCACCGTTACCATTCAATGCCGCCCCCCCATTGTCGTCTGAGTCCTGATAAGTTTGCTGTTGAAGAATCCGGGCATTATCGTGGCAGAGTGAGTCTGGTGGCACCCCCTCCTGAGTGCGTCCTGCACATGTCCCACAGAGCTCAACAGCGCCGACCTGCAGGGCTGCGGCAGCGAGAACAGCCTGAGCAGCAATGCCAGCCTGCCCAGTGTGCAGAGCCACCGTCGGCACACCGAGCGCCGCGTCGCCAGCTGGGCGGTCTGCTTCGAGCGTCTGCTCGCTGACCCTGTGGGCGTGCGCTACTTCTCGGTAAGTACCCCCCTCCCCCCTCGAAACTCTTGACCCCTGGACTCCATACCCTGACCCCTGGCCACAACTCCTGGTTTATCCCCACAGGAGTTTCTAAAGAAGGAGTTCAGCGAGGAGAACATTCTGTTCTGGCAGGCCTGCGAGTTCTTCAGCCATGTGCCAGAAAATGACAAGAAGCAGGTAAGGAGGCATTAGCGTTAGCATTAGCATGAATACATTGTTAGCATGGGTGCTATGTTACTATAGGGGCCATGTTAGCATGGGTGCTACATTAGAATAGGTGCTGTGTTAGCATAGCGGTCATGTTAGCATGGGTGCTACATTAGAATAGGTGCTGTGTTAGCATAGGGGCCATGTTAGCATGGGGGCTACATTAGAATGGGTGCTGTGTTAGCATAGGGGCCATGTTAGCATGGGGGCTACATTAGAATAGGTGCTGTGTTAGCATAGCGGTCATGTTAGCATGGGTGCTACATTAGAATGGGTGCTGTGTTAGCATAGCGGTCATGTTAGCATGGGTGTTACATTAGAATGGGTGCTGTGTTAGCATAGCGGTCATGTTAGCACGGGTGCCTTATTAGTATGAGGACGGGGCCGCGCTGCCACTGCATGGCTACATGGAAATGAACGAGGTAGTGAGATAAGGTTGTTATCTGTGCTGTTATCTCAGCGGCAGTACTGACATCGCCTTGCTCCTGTCCCCCAGCTGTCCCAGCGAGCCCGCGAGATCTACAACAACTTCCTGTCCAGCAAGGCCACCACGCCAGTCAACATTGACAGCCAGGCCCAGCTGGCAGACGACATCCTCAACGCCCCACGGCCAGACATGTTCAAAGAGCAGCAGCTGCAGGTGGGCGGGGGTGGGGGTGGGGGTGGGGGTGGGGGTGGGGCGCGAGGCTCTGCCCACACTGGCCAGGCTTTAGCACGCTTTTGGAAGTGACTGGTACCTAGTTAACATTCATTTAAGTCCCAGGTTACTTTTTAAAATATCCTGGTTGTGCTGATGAATGACAGGAGGCCTGCAATGGAGTGTCTGAATAATGGAAGGGGTGATTCTAGGATTTTTTAAGGTGGATCCCATAAGAGGGGCCACAACTGAATCTTATCATTAGCCAATGATATGTTTAGAATCTGTGAGTGACAGAGGAGGGGACACTCCGAGGGCCAATCAGCTTTCAGTTGGGGCCAGTGGCCCCGTGGCTCCGCCCCTGTATACACATGAGGCCGCTGGGAGGGGGCGAGGTCTGGGTGATGCATATTCCCACCATTAGCGCTGAGCAGCCTATTAGACCGCAGAGCGAGGTGCCTGCTCTCCCCCCCCCCCTCGCCTTCTATGTTTGTCAGTTCTGCAAACAGCGCTGCTGTTACTCATTACTCTTGAGCCCAGTTTGGTTTGTGTCTGTGTATAAGAACGCGTCACGCTGTATAAAAAAGCACATTAAGCATCTCTCTGGAGCAGGCCAGCCATCGCCGACGCGTCTTCCCCTCTCTATTGACCCTGTAATAAGCCCGCCCCCCCACCGATCCACTTCCCCCTACTCTGCAGATCTTCAACCTAATGAAGTTCGACAGCTACACACGCTTCCTGAAGTCCTTCCTGTACCAGGAGTGCATGGTGGCCGAGGTGGAGGGCCGACCCCTCCCCGACCCCTACCAAATCCCCAGCAGCCCCACATCGAAGCACAGCACCAGCTCCGACCGCTCCAACCTGTCCACGCCCAAGAAGGTACCCGTCCATCGAGCTTGGCGGCAGTTCACCCGTCAGCCGACAGATCTTCGGAGCGGATCGGCTCACGGGCAGCCCTGTCACTGACAAACAGATCTTAGGGAAATGTGAAACGGGAGCACCAACTGCCCCATGTGGCATATTAAGAAATTCCCAGGATACCCCTGGATGGGGCAGAGTGGGATGCCTGCCAGGGACGCGTTGCGTGGGCGCCGTGCCGTCTCCTGCGATCCGGGACAGTCAGACGCCAGCCTCGGGGTGTCATGCTATTCTGCCTCGGGCCCATCCGTAAACGCTTTGTGTTTGTGACGCGGCGTTTAGCGGAGTATGGCATCAACAACTGGGTGTCAAACTCTGCCGGCAGGCTTGGGTCACTGCAGGGGCAAGTGCCACACTCGTCCGCTCGGCCGCCAGGGGTGTGGGTGTGAATTGGTCCTCCTCTCCCTTGGGCTTCACCAGCAACGTTGCTCAAGGTCTACAGCGCTCGTTCGGCCGCTCACGCTAACCTGTGATTCCTGCTGACACAGACCTATTTCCTAAAATGGCCTTACGTAAGCAGGCAGGAAACTCCCAGCATGACCGAGGCTGGCTCTGCGGGGGAGGGCGGGCCTGTATCGAGGGGCTCCGAACCCAGAGACGCACTGACACACGAGCTTTATTAATCCCCGAGGGGAGATTAGGCATGAAGCATCCAATGGGGGGGGGGAGACAGCAAACAGCACAGGGTCAGAGGTCAAGGAGGATCGCATGGAGGGGGGGCTCTTAGGGCTGGAGCGGGCCGTCCCAGCACTGATTAATGGGATGTGTGGGTAGGATGAGAAGAGGTCCAAGGCGGGCCGGCCGGCCAACGATGACAGCCAAGAGGACCATGGCGATAAGAAGAAGGGACTCTTCTTCTCCTGGTCCCGCAATCGGAGTTTCGGGAAAGGGCCCAAGAAGAGGGAGCTGGCGGATTACAGCTACAGTGAGTCAAGCGCATCCTGCTGGGATTTCTTAAAGTAGTGTTTCCTAGTCCGGTCCTCGGGGACCCAGGGTCGGTCCACATTTTTGCTCCCTTTCAGCTCCCAGTTGGGTAAAAACATGGACTGTCTGTGAGTCCTTATGGACCGGACTGGGAAACACTGTCTTAAAGAGCAACCCCCCCCCCCCACCCCCACTCCATGGGGGCCCGGCGGGCGTGCGTTTAACCGCTCTGTTCCTGGACGTGTCCTGCCGACAGATTTCACCGGCGGCAACGGCAGACGGGAATCGCAGGGCTCGTTGTCGTCCGGCGCCAGCGTGGAGCTGGGCACTGCCAGTTCCGGGGGCAAGGCCGAGGTGAGTAGGTGCTGTAGGGGCATGTCGGCGCGATGATCTGGCACGGCACCCGCTATTCGCATGTTCCGTCGTCGTCCCGAGCGTGACCCGCTGCGGAAATAAAGCACGGTTTTAGAGACTTTATCGGATGAAGCTTTAGGTAAGGGCAGCGTTGCTGGCCAAGAGATTTCAGGGGGTTGCTGGTGGCTTAATTATTGGGATGAGGAGAGGAGGACGCTGGCAGTCTATCCATCAAACTGATGTCAAGTTCTGTATGCATGTGTTTCAGTGCCGGGCGCTCTGTATCTGTGTAATGTTTGAATAAGTAAACAGGAAGTGAATTTTTTAGCCACTGTCTGAAAAGGCATCCCGCATATATTATGTTAACAAGGGATATTAGGTTTCCTCTGAAGAACGAGGTGCCTCTTTTTCTTTTGAACCTTCCCTAGAGCCCTTTCAATAGTGTCCTTGACAGTTGACGTGCTCCTCCCAGGAGACTGGGGAGGACGGGTAGGCCATGACCAGGTCAGACTGACTGCCTTTGTTTCCTGTCGCCCCCTGCAGGCCGAGACCTCCCGCAGCTCGGCGTCCGTACAGCAGTGCAGTGTCAACCTGCCGGACGGCACCTGCTGCACCGTGCAGGTTCGGCCCGGTACGTCTGTCAGGGAGGTGCTGCAGGACCTCTGCGAGAAGCTGTCCATTAATCTGGCTGCCGTCGACCTCTTTCTGGTGGGCGGCGAGAAGGTACCCATCCACACCGCACCTCTGCTGGCCGTCCTGTTCAAATTGTTTCCCCGAAAGTGAAGCCTTTATGTCACTCAGACGCACCCCCTGCCTTTTCCCCCCTCCAAAAGCCGCTGGTCCTGGACCAAGACTGCATGACCCTGAGTTCCCGGGACCTGCGCTTAGAGAAACGCACTTTGTTCAGGTAATTGCAGGTTAAATAGAGTGTATGTAGCTGACTGGGACACTAGGAACACACACAAAATCGAGGGCTTAGCGTTTTTAAGATATTTTCCTTGAAGGAGTTTCCCTTTTTGAATATCTGCTGAACAAGCAAATCATTAGCAGAGAAGTAAATGGCAAATGTTGTAGTGATGTAATGGGTCACATGATCCCAAGCCACCAGAGCAAGGACGACCTCCATGGCTGCCTCTAATGATGGATGCTTCACGCACATCCTTTCTCTCTTCATCCAGACTGGACCTCGTACCCATTAACCGGTCCGTTGGCTTGAAGGCCAAACCCACCAAGCCGGTCACGGAGGTCCTGCGGCCGGTCGTCTCCAAGTACGGCCTCCAGCTGAACGACTTGGTGGCCAGAATCGTAAGTTGCACGGCGTGCTGAAAATGGGAAGCGTGTGAAGACTGCGTGTTCGCGATGTGCGGCCAGCACTGCAGTAACCGGCGCGTCCGCGATGTGCGGCCAGCACTGCAGTAACCGGCGCGTCCGCGATGTGCGGCCAGCACTGCAGTAACCGCCATATTGCCCCTGCAGAGTGGCGAGAGGGAGCCCCTGGATCTGGGCCTGCCCATCTCCAACCTGGACGGACTGCGCGTGGTGCTGGATGTAGCAGACCACACCGCTGTGAAAGGTAAGCAGGGCGCTGTCTCTCCGCATGTCTGCACTGCGGGCTGCTGGGATGGGGCCCCCAAGCTCGTCCACGGCCATTACTCAGCCTATCAGGGTGGCCGTTAGTCCAACCTATCAGGGTGGCCATTACTCAGCCTATCAGGATGGTCATTACTCAGTCTATCAGGATGGTCGCTAGTCCAGCCTATCAGGATGGTCATTACTCAGCCTATCAGGATGGCTGTTTGTCAGCCAACCAGGGGAGCCGTCATGTCCCATGTAACCTTGAATTCCCTGAGTTTCAAACGTCGGTTAACCTTTCATGAGCGTGGCTTTAGCACATAGATCAAAGGTACAACCCCTCCTGCCGTCTCCGGCGCAGTGTGAGACGTGCCACCTCTCTGAGGTGGGGCGGGGGCTGGAGAGGGGCTATTTCCCAGGTAACGGGAATGGACGGCTCCCCGGAGCCACACGGCTTCTGCTTTCGCACCCCGAGGTAGGTCTCCTGATAGGCCCGTTTGACGCACTGCAGTTCTGCATGGAGGTTCTGGTCAGAGCTTGATGCACTTCCTCCTCCTTTGTATTCCTTCCCCCTGGTACCGCTGACCAAGTGCCCTCCACCCATTTTAGCCAGCGTCCGCCCTTCTTTCTCCTCCTTCCCCCCGGTACCGCCGACCAATCACCCTCCACCCATTTTAGCCAGTGGTCCGCCCTCCTGGTACCGCCGACCAAGCTTCCTCCACCGGTCCATTCAGCGTCCGCCTCCCTTTCTCCTTTTTCCAGCAGATAAACAGAAGCCCATCCCATCGAAGAGCCACATGACGCCCAAAGGTCAAGCGACAGGAGTAAGGGAACGTCGTCATTCTGGTGGTGGGGGGGTCCTTCCTGTGTTCCGCATGGTCCTGTTTTATACTCACCTCCTCTGGGCTCCATTTCCCTTGCATTGCCCTGCTGCCTCGTGCCTGCGTGTCTGTGTATCTGTGTGTTAGGGGTATGAATCGTTGCCCACAAGGCGATTCGATTGCTGTTATTAGTAAAGTTAGTAATTTCTATCCCGATTCAATTCGATTAATCGATTATTTGACTATTTCGATAATATAAATTCAAATGTTTGTTTAGATAAACTGAAAAAAAATCACAGTTGCCATGGGAGCTTTATTAATGGAATAAGAAGGAAGTAGAATCTTGGATTTATTGTTAAAATAATAGGGAGGACAAATCAGCATAAATTGTCAAAAAGGCCAACTACTGAACTGTACAGAAGAAAAAGAAACGCGTACGGAAGCTGTAGCAGATCTGGGAGCCGGGGGAGTTTGGCGGCAGTGAAATTTGCCGAGCTTGCCTGTGCAGATAAGTGGAATGTCGTTACAGAGATGAGTGATCGATTTGTGGGCCAGATTTAATAATGGATCATAAACATGTCACGGGCCGGTACGTTTAGATCTCTTATAATTGGTGAATTAGCCGATGCAATCCCTCATTGTCCACTATGGAAAATGGCTGATTGTCCAGTTCAATCAACTCCATTATTTTAGTAATTGTGTCTTTAGCTCCAGTGCTGCTAACTTTCATTATCGATAAAGTTTAAATAAATCCCAAGACTGACGCATCATAACAATGCCTGTGACGAAAATTGTCAGTGTATTTTATTGTAAAATATATTTAAATTGATGGAAAACGAGATGACGTTAAAATTTAAAACAAATTCTGATGCCACAGTCGTCAGTGAATAAAAACGCGATGAAAACGTCAGGAAGAGATGATTTTGAAAGTTACCCAGTCAGAAGTGGTATCTTTAGTTAGTGTTGACTGTAGTTGCGCATGATTGGATAAAATGTTGATCCGACTGGCTTCAAGTAACGTTTGAGTTCTGTCTCTGAAGTCTGAATGTAAGCTTGTTATGTCTGTGCTAGGCTTGGGGGACTTTTATTGTGGGGGAGCAAATAATCTCTGGATGGTGTGAAATATTAGATGCCACCCAAGCAAGGTCTGTGGTACAGTCGGCACTGGGGGGGGGGGGGGCAGCAACAGGATAGAGAACCACTGTATTAGACTATGACTGATTTTGTTAGTTTCATTGACTGTACATTAAGTCAACTACATCTAAAGGAGATTTAGTCGACTAAATATCCTATAATATTCGTTGAATTCAACTATACAAAATTAAGAAAATAATAAAATTAAAAACTAAAATGAAATTGCATTTTCGTGAAAAGACTAAGACTAAAACTAAATCAAGATACGCTGTCAAAATAAACACTGGCAACGCAAAATTAGAAAAATCTTTTTCGCTCCCCAGAAATCAATTCTGACTTTACAGATCAAAGCAGTTGAATTGCCACCTTAATAATCGATTCATCATGACGCAACGATGCATCTTTACACCACAGGTGTGCGTATATTTGTGTGTGATTTTATGGGTGTGTTTGTATCTCTGCATGTGTGTTTGTATCTTTGTATTTGTATTGTTTGTGTGATCGCATCTGTGTGTGTTTTTATCTGTGTGTATGTGTGTGTTTGTATCTCTGTATGTGTGTGTTTGTATCTGTGTGTGTGTGTTTGTATCTGTTTGTGTGTGTGTTTGTATCTGTGTTTGTGTGTGTGTGTGTGTGTTTGTATCTGTGTTTGTGTGTGTGTGTATCTGTGTTTGTGTGTGTGGGTCTGTGTGTGTTTGTATCTGTGTTTGTGTGTGTGTGTGTGTGTTTGTATCTGTGTTTGTGTGTGTGTGTGTGTGTTTGTATCTGTGTTTGTGAGTGTGTGTGTGTGTGTATACCTGTGCACTCCGCCCGTGGCTGTGGCTGGATTTAACCGACTCAAAACCAATTTAGAAAGGCCCTCCCTCCGTCGGTAGCTAGAATGGTGGGGGGGCTGGGGGACCTGGGAGACAAGCGCGCTCCTTGGAGGGAGCCAGCCGCGTGTGGGGCCCCCCATCCCGCTCCCCCCGCCGGCCCCTCACCTCGGTGCATATTCTCGTTGTCGCCATCCAGGGAGATGAGAAAGCGGCAGGGAAGGCCAGCTCTGTGAGGGCCCTGCGCGGGGAGGCACGCCCTGAGAGAAAGCAGAAAAAGATTAATATAGATGAAGCTGAAGGTAAACCGCCACTCGGAACGGCGCCCCCTGCCCACACCGTACAGAAACACAGCTTCGCTTCAGCTCTCACTAACCACCTCTCCTCTTAGTCCTGCTAAGCTGCCTATGAGCTCGTTTACCTGCACTACTGCACTGGTTTTTAGCTGGGAATCGGGGGTTGGTTAGATGAGGATAGGTCGTTAATGGTTTACGTGTACCCCCCCCCCCCCAGAGTTCTTCGAGCTCATTTCCAAAGCTCAGAGCCACCGGGCCGACGACCAGCGGGGCCTCCTGAACAAGAAGGACCTGGTGCTGCCGGACTTTCTGCGCCTGGTGCCTGAGCCTGCCTGCTCCACTCCGGCAGCCCGGCCGCCGGTCCCGCGCCGGGGCCCCGAAAACGGTGCCGCCGGGGCCCACAGGGCCGCCCTCAATGCCAGCCACCAATCCCAGAGCCTAGACTCCCCGTTCGTCCGCGGCGACGCCCCGGATCCCCCTGCTGGCCAGAGGGCCCCTGTGCCCCCCGCCGGTCCCTGGCCCGGGGCCCCATTCTCACCTCCCCTCTCGCCCATCCCCCACACTGCGGACTGCAAGGGCCCGCCCTGGGCCCGTGACGTCATCCAGACGGTGGAGGACGAGCACGTGGCAGACTTGACTCTTGTAGGAGAGGGGGACATCACCAGCCCCAACAGCACGCTGCTGCCTCCCTCCCCCACGCCCGCCCCGTGCCGGGCCGGCCTTCCGGAAGGCGGCCCCGCTACCCCCTCGCCCCGCCATGACACTGAGGAAAGCTTTGCGGACGTCCGCTCGAGCTCAGGTATTTCTGGAGTGTGATGTATCTCTCTGTGTGCTCAGTGCATCGCTGAGGACTCCGTCGACCCCGGAGACCAGTGCCAACCATCACAGCCCCAAATGCTTACTTAATGCACTTTATCCTGTATAAAAAACGAGCCTTTTATGTATTTTTGCCCAAGTAATCCCGATGGTGACTAATTTCAAATTAAGAAGCGGTGGAGAATAAAAACGGGGGCAAGTAAAAGATGTTTTTGGCAGAGCGGCCTGCCGTTCAGGCTCCCCAGCCAGCCAGACCCCCCCCCCCCGGAGCAGGCTCCTCTCACAAGAGGCCCTGACTCCTGGCCGTTCTCACGACGCTCTCACTCGGGAATGGATGACGCAGGAGCCCAGGCTCGCCATTAGCCATCGGTGCTGTATATAGTGATAATTCCGATCCCCCCCCCTCGCCAAGATGCCCCCGCCTGGGAGGGCACCGCAAAGCCGGACCCAAAGGCTCGTCTGCCGCATCCTTTTGAAGCTCCCGCTCCTGACGATGCTTTGATCACGCCCGCTCTAAGTTCCCGTGCCTTTTGTCTCCTCTTCGAGAAACGTGTTTTTTTCCACCCCTGACCCCCCCCCCCGCCATTCTGTCTGCCAGTGAAATGCAATTCAACAATGTCCGTGAGCCGGCCCGTTCTCCGCCGCGGTGCGTCCACTCCGAAACCCGACGGACCCGAGATAAAGTCCATTTCCCGCTCCTGTTTTACGTATGCAATTCCGTAATATATTATTAAGATCTCAGATTATTTATCTTTGTCATTTTTGTTACTGTGTGACTTTCACGGAGTGACATATACTGTTAATGTACATATAGTTGTTCTCAAAGTGCCATTGTTGAATTGCAGGCCCCTTTCCCTTATAATCTTCTTGTCCTGAGTAGATGCCTTTTGTAGATAACTGTTCTGATTAATTCTGTACCTTTGTGTGATTAGATCTAATAAATGTTAGAGTGAAATCACAGATCACTGTCTTCTAAATGCCTGTGATGTGCCATCGCTCATTTCTCACCCATCTTTCTGGCCTGGGGACTGGCTGTCAGGCTTGAGTAGGTATGTGTCCGTGATCCGGGCCTTCGCTGAGACTGACAGGTCTGTCCCACCTATTTCTGCTCCTCAGTAACCCAGCATGATCCCATCATCCATCTCTTCCTGTTTCTTTGTCATGTTTGCTGTGTTTGCTCTGTGAGGTGTTGAGTGGCAAGTCCAGAAGGAGTAAACCCCAGGGCGTCCCAGTTCCGGGGAGCGCGTGGGGGTGTGAGCAGGAAGCCTCGAGCTCTTCACTCCCTGCCAGGGAACCTTCCGGCACTGTGTCGGCCCTTTGTGCGGGGGGAGAGAAAGTCTGGGCCATTAGCGATGCATAGGCCCCCGGGGAGATGAATGCCCCCCCCCAAGGCAGCTTTGTGCTGCATAGGCGCCGCTATCCCGCTAACAAGAGCCCGCTCTGTCTGTCCTCAGTGCACAGCCGTTCGTTAGCGGGCTCCTAATTGGCGTCGGTTTGTTCATTTACTACCCCTCATTCATTCGTGTTTTCTAAGTCCCAATGTCCGCAGACAAAATGGATGCTTCTCTTTGGTACCACGGTGTTCAAACAACTTCCTTCCCCCGGTCACTGCGACGCTCTGTGCGCTTACAGCAAGCGTCTGTCGGAATCCACTCCCCGATCAGCATCGAAAATGGGGTTAGCAACAAGCACTATGCTAGCCGAGAGGGTCCTTTTGTTTTTATTTCATCAAAATGTTAACTTTAAAGGGCTCGGATTTGTTTATAATTATTCAATCTTTATTTAACGTGGCCAGGTTTGTGTTTAATTTGACATTTTCTTCTTAATGGAAGAAAAAGATGGTTACTGGGAAAAGGATGAGAGGTGATTGTAGAGGACTCTGAAGGGCTTCCCAAGAGCCCACGATCGGGCATTCAGGCCGTTGTTGTCCTGGCATCCGGGAATACTCCGAAAGGTTGGCACCGTCGGCTCAGAAATGAGGGCCCGCGTGAAACTCTGGACTCTGAATCCCGCGATCCGAGTTCAGATCTCGGTGGAACACAGGCTGCTCTCGCACTCTCTGCATTACCGTTAGTTACTGTCTTCACATGCCATTCATGAGAATCTTTTCACAGACGTGAGAACATAAAAAAAAAAAACCTGTTAAGTTCGCAGAATGAAGCACCTGAAATCAAATGACTCCAAAAAAGAATAAGCACTCACTTATAATTAAAATACATGCATATATCAAAAAAAGCAAAGAAAGGGATCATCAAAGAGCCGTTTTCCGGGGATTCAAAGGGCCGGGCCGGGATTCAGAAAGCGGCGGATACATGAGAAAACGCCCGGAGCAAAGGCGGGGGAACATCAAACGGCGAGGGGTCGGCGAGGGACATGGGCACGCTGGCGGGGGCCACACGGTACAGCCCGCAGAGGGGGGCGGGAGGGGGCGTACCGAGCTTACCCTCCTGAGGAAGATCAGCTCAATCATTCTGCATGTAGACGGGTCCTTAATTAAAATCTGCGATGGTACGAGAGTACAAGTAAAAGTACGTGTAATGGCCGGGGACCCAGGGGTGTGGTGCGCGTCAGCTGGGCTTTGCAGCTGGCTGGTGGTAGTTCTATGCAGGCTCATGAAGGTAAGTTGGTGGGGGGGGGACTTAGTGAGCTTTCCCCACCCAGAGAAAGTCAGTCCTCCTGGCAGGCTCCCAGTGAGGCATCTGGGTGCAGCCACACCAGTAACGCAAAGCCATATTGAGCCCCCCCCCTGGGAGATTCAGCCAGCATCTGCTGTTTTTCCAGCTGTCCAGCAACAGTGAGCATCTTCCTAAGTGACCCGCACGGCCCTGTTCCGGGACCTCCTCTCATTCTCCTTTCCAGAGTTATTTTCAGGTTTCCTTTCCATAAGCTCCTTATTTCGTTCTCTTGGGGCTTTCCAAAGAGAATGTGAACCTCTGGCGTCTTCGGTTCTGCACCAGCTGGGGCACAGTGGGGATGGAGTGCCATCGTTCGTGTTGCTTTGCTGCGAAGAGCCTGTTTCTGTGCACTGTCTGCCGATTAACTCATGCAGTGGGGTTGTGAATATGGCAGATTTGCATAGACTTGGTGTGATCTGACCAGCAGTACGGAAATGCTGGATAAAAATGGAAATATTTGCAAACGATGTTCCGCCTTGTTATCTCGGTAAGCATAACATGACATTTGTGGCACTGGCAGATCGAGGCCTGCTGGCTCAGAAGGCAGTGCTGTTGGCTCATGCTTCCAGGGTTGGGGGTCGGTATCCAGCTGTGCGTGTGTGTGTGCGTGTGTGTGTGTGTGTTCTATCATGTTTTTCCCATAGTTCAAAAAATTTGATTTGAGTGAATCTCTACTTCAAAGTTGTGTTTGTATGTATACGGCTCTGGAAAAAATTAAGAGATCACTGTATATTTTTTAAAAGTCTAAATTTTTAAATCCTGGTTTAATCGTGGTTCTGCTGGCACAAGGCTACATGGCTGGTTGCATCCAGGCTCAAAGTTTCTAAGACAGCATGACACAAGAACAAAGTGAAGCAGGAGACACTGGGAACGACCAGAAACCAGCCAGGTAGAAGGTGGAAGTGACTTTCTAATGGCAGAGATGACCGTTAACTTATCCAGCAGTGCCTCATGAATCAGAGGATGACATCAAGTGACCTTCAAAAGGAATGGGAAACATTAAGTGCAGGTGTGAAGTGCTCTGCTAGGACAGTTCATATCAGGCTCCTAGAAGCAGGACTGAAGACCATAAAGCAAGGAAGAAGCCCTTCATCAATGAGCAGCAGGGAAGAACCAGGCTGCAGTTTGCAAAAAAAATATATATATTAGACAGGTGCATAACGCATAAATTGAGAAATGAGTGAAGCTAAAAATTTTACTGTGGTCTTTGAATTATTTTCAGAGCTGTATATGTATATAATGTACTCTGTCACTGGATTGGATCCCTCAAACGTTAGTTCATGCAGAGGATGGATGGATGGGTACACATGGTTGACAGCAATGGTGGCTGACAGAAGGTCATATCAGCGTATGGAGAAGATCAAGGTGTCATAATCGCAGACCGACGTGAAAGGGGACACACTTGAAAGTCGACGTAGCTGTCAGTCTCTGTGGAGTGGAGCAGGTCACATTCCACGCCCAGTAACCTAGATACCCCATCTCAGGCACACGACATGAGGTCCATATGTATCCCATCAGTCCCTGATCTGGGTAACCTCTTTTTTGCAATGTTGATAGCTATTGACTCGATAGCTATTAACTAGCACCTTGTTTCAGGACGTCCCTCTCCACCCTCGTGGTGGCTGTCGCTGGAGATCTGGGATGACCAGCCATTCAGCCATTATCCTCCTCTGGCTTCGTGCTGAACATCTTGCAGCAGTATCCGCCGCCCCGTTTGATCGGTTGACTTTGAGGTGCCCCAATCCTCTAGCTGTTCAAAATGAGAGTTGGTGTAGTTAACGGCTTCAGACCTGAACGCATCAGAGAGCCGCTGTGGAGATAATGGTCATTGACCCTTTCATGCTGTACAACTCGATGCCACAACCTTTTCTACAGGCAAGTCATTGCTGAATCCTACAGCGTACCTCCGTCATGGATAGCACTCGACTGGGTGATTCCCGTCAATTAGCTATCAACTCTGTACAGAGTGACCTCCCCAGTCTACGCACGTCTACGCACGTGATGAGCATTTAAGTCATGTAAGGTGACTGCTCTGTGGTCGTGCTTGCGCAGACGTTGGTGGTTAGGCGCGTGAGCATAATTTGAGTTGTCCCATGGGGGAATTCCCTCAGATTTCTTCCAAATTCGCAACCGTCTGACCTGCTGGGGCTTTTCTCCACCTCCATCATCCGGACACGGATTGTGGGAATTCCTTGCAGAGCAGCCGGGATTTTCCGCGTCCCAGGTACCCGTGGCGAGGCGGACGCCCCCCCAGTAACGTGTCATAGACGCTACGTCGGATGCATGTGGCTGGGGGGGGGGGCGGAGCGTGGGGCCGCGTGTTGGTGGGGAGAGAACACCCCCGACGACGGAGGAACAGCAGCACTGTGCTCTCTCCTCGGCTCACCGGGAGCCATGGAAACGAGCCGCCCACGCTGGATGTTTCCACATGGCTGATAATGAGCCCTGGGGAGGTTGGGGCGGCGAGTGGGTGGGGGTGGGGGGGGGGTGGTCGGTGGGTTTATTACTTTCTTCTCCCTCAGCTCTTTCTTCCACAGAACTCAAACGGCCCCGAGTAATGGATCCAAATCTTTTTTTTTCCTTCACGATTTGATACTTCATTTATATTTACATATTGAAAATGATTTGAGTAGCTAAGAGGTAATTGCTTTGTAAATGTAATTATGCTTTCTGAGGACTTGCAGTTCAGCCGGTCGGCTCAACACACGATGGGTTCACAGCAACCTGTGGCTCACCCCAGAATCCCTGTACTGGTGCTACTGGTGTTACTGGACCTCTTGTATTACCACCCCTCCGGCCCACTTGTATAGCTACTTACACCATCTTCTATTTGTCCGATTTTCTATATACACTGCAAGGCCAAGCAGCTCATACCAGACGAGCAGGGAGACGACTGTAGCACGTTAGCACTGCTTCAGGACACCTCCAGAGCTTCGTCGACCTGTGGACTAGACCGGCTTTGCCGGCTTGGCCTCCATCAAGCGAGTCAACCACACTGCCATCTAGTGGCCGACCCTGAAACCTGTCGCATGTTTTCATAGACCCCAGTCAGTCGTCATACGGAAATTAAACACCAGCCCTGACATTTAAATGACAAATTGCTGGTACCTTAATGCAATTAAGTATTCAGCTCTCCACCCCGAGCACATTTATCAACAGAACAAGCATTGGTGACGGCAGAATAACAGACGCATTATATTCACTGGAGTGCATCTGACTTCATGAGATTTAATCTGTGTTCGCGAAGCCACTGGACTCTGATGTTCCGCAGGTCCTCATCATGAGACAGGCTTGCAGGACGATCAGGCGACAAGCATGATGTAACCACAGGGGGGCAGCACCTATGATGTGGTAAAATTGCAGGTGTCAAATCTTATAAGATTTAGGGCCGCATAGACAACGTTTAAATGCTCTGGTTGGAACTGATGTGCAGATAGTCGGCACGCTTTCTTTTTTGTATATTTTGGCCTAACAAAAGATGATATATGCAAGTATGCCCAGGTCCTGACCTCCAAATGTATCCAAACAGGCAGTAACTCACTTTAGCGACAGATCGGTAACTTCTTCGTACGGCAGGCATTAACATAAGCCTGGTTCGTTTCTCCCACACTAAAATACAGCCTTGCTAAGAACAGATGAGGTCACAGATAATTCAGAAAGCCATTATAAATCTTTTTTTTGTGTCTAAAGTGCAGAGCAGAGATGAGCGGTGCACTTGGTATGATTCAGAAGAGGCGAAGCTTCAGCTTCCTGCCATGTTTGGTCTTCGTGGACAGAAGCATCGGCTAAATAAATGGCCGACTGCGGAGCTGCACCACCCCTGCGCGCTTTTCTCGTCTCTCCACATTCCCCCTCGCTGTGTGGCCCCGGGCCCCGTCTGCGGCCGGCTCCCCCGGGAGCCCTTATTCTGCTCCCATCCTCTGGACGTGTCCCCCCTCCACCCCCGTCCCTGTTTTTGTTGGCGCGGCCCGCAGTCTCCCCCCTCGCCCCGCGTCTCCCAGGATCCCACAGTCTGGGCCGGGGAGATCCTGGGATATGCTACGCGACCGGCAAGGGGGACAGTACCTAGCTAATGTCACTCAGAAACACCACCTCGACAGTCTTTACGAGTAATATTTAGCGATGACGTAACTGTCCCCAGCTTACTAAAAGGCTTTGGATTTTCCTACAGTTCATAAATGAATGATATATTTTGCCTATTAAAGGCTGAAGAATTTACAAACTGAATGAAATCTAGAAGAATCCATCGCATTTGGGCCTGATGACTCTAGGTCCCCCTGGGCGAATGTGCGTCAATACGACTCTACTGCGTTCTGTGAGACACTATTATTTCACTTTAATAGGTTATTTGGAGATGGATGTGTATAAATAGCACCAATCCAAACTTTTCTGTATAAGGCTCAAAGATGAGGCAGTTCTGAGCCAATCACGGAGTGAAGTGTCACAAGTGGGCCGGCTCAAGGCTGCCTCTGGCCCCCGATTGCTCCTGGTATTCAGCAGCACAGAATTCTTCACACTGCGTCCCTGTTTGTCAGGGATTGTTTAGTAGAAGGGCATAAAAGCACGCTTCCACTGAACATTCTGGTTTGGTGTAACTGGAAAAACAAAATCAGTCTCAGAGCCCTGTATCGGAACTACTGCTTGTTCGTGTTGGGTTGAACCTGTTACTGAAATGAACACTAAATACTCGCCATGACATCAGCCCCAAACTCTGCTTACTAGAACCTCATCAGGAAGAGGGGCTGTACACCACAGCATCAGACGGTGTGAGATGATCTATCAGCGTGCCCCTCCCTCCACATGAGCATTGTTTGGTGGGAAGAGCCAGACGGGTGTGTGTGGGGGGGGGATTGGGAGCAGCAAACGTACTACAGAAACCCAGGGAGACTCCAGCAGGAAGCTCTGCAGCCTTGGAACGCCACCCAGGGTTGCAGAAGGCTGTAGTCCACTAGGGGGCTTCACTGACAGTTCAGGCAGAAGATCCATTACGTAGATTCTGTGTAGATGCATGCTGTCACAGAATGCGCACGGTGTAGGAATGAAATGTTTCTGGGTGTATAACATCAGCGGGACTGGACAGCAGTGCCTTCCTCTGCTGCCTGATATGCCGCTTGCAACCAGCGGGTGGCAGTGTGTGTCAATGACCTGCTGAGCTGTAAGACCAGTCTCCCCCCCCC